AAACATAATAATTTATTGCTCATATCTTTTGTTATACTGTATTCAGCAATAGTAGTCTGTATTTCATTCTTCAACCCACCTGTAGAAGTACAAATGCAGCAATTATCTACAAGCATTTGCTAGAAAAATACAACATATAATTACAACAGCCAAAAAAGTCACGAAATTTGAGGTTGACTGAAGTTTGGTTATATAATTTCAATAATATTTTAAAGGAAGAAAAGAGATTCATACCTTGGTCACTAACTCTGGAGAAAATGTTTCTTATCAGAGTAATACCCTGTAAATACCCTGTCAAAAGTAATCATTAACACTCCACCAAACTGGTTACTAGAAGYTGTAACTACCAATTTCTTGTGTTTTCTAATAGAAACTATATTCATCATTTCATTTGTGGGTGAAGTACAGAAAAGTAGTCAAAGAAACTGTGTTTATGTGTAAAAGAGGCAACTCCCTATCATGAACAGACTTTTCTTTATGATGGTAAATAAAGTATTTAAGCATTGTGACAAAAAGTTTTTATATTTTTTATAGTTTCATTACCTTCTTCTCCCTTTCCCACAAAAGCTTTAAGAAAAACATATTTAGTTCTAAATGACTGTGAAAAGGTAGTCAAATATTATATAGGTAATAAATACACAGGTTAATCATTGTTTTATTCTATGCATTTCTTGTGTATAAAGCTTTTGTTTCTTCTTTGTACTGAAACTCTTCACCAAATTTCTGCACCCAAAACTAAAAAATGTATTGATATGTATCACACATATTTTGTTCCAGTACTTTTAGTAAATTTGAATGCTTTTGTTTAGAAATTTAATGACGGTGAAAGAGAAATAAAATTAATCAAGCTTTGGATCAAACAGAACATTTGAAGTCCTTAAAGATTCCCATTATGCTTTGAAATCAGGATTCTTTCTCATGTATAATGTGAAACAATAAAATAACAAAACCCACTAATTAGTGATATTTGTCATATTTATAACTCTCTGAACTAACCAAAGTATGCCCTACAGACACTTTGGAACATTATCACAGCTTCTTCTAAGTTTTCTCACTTCTTGCCTTATTAATAAACCTCAAAATACTACTTTGGTGGGAGGATCTGTATATAAATYGAGGTTATGTGCAGAGGACATTTGGCTCAGGTCATCAAACGTTCCTAAGCAGTCCTTAGCCATTTAACACAATTGATTTTTTTTTCAGTTGTCTGTTCTGAACTCTCTTGTTCTRGCTCTGAAATGCTACAGTTCCTGGCATAGCTCCTAGTAATAAATATTCTGACCACTACAGCTGGAAACTAGACCGTATAATTAATTGTCAAGGATGGAGTTCCACTTGCATAAAGACAAATGCCAGTGAGAAACTACATCGCTCAGGTGGAGTAAGTACTTAAAATCCTTTCAATCTCTTTTATTTTGCCTAAGTATAAGAGCTTTTATGGTACAGCTTTTTCGTAGAACTTCCCAAAGGAGATATCTTTATTACCATTAGTATCAATCACACTTAGTATTAGTATTATTAGTATCAATCACACTTACTACTTTAGTGCCTAAGGTAAAGTGAGATTCACTTATACAACTGCAGAAAGTGTTCCTAGAGCCCAAAATACTAGATAATAAAGCATAATAAATACAAATATAATTTAAATTAAAACCATATTTTAAAATATAATATAAATAAAATATCATACTGGATATTCTCTGTAATCAAAATGACCAGGACATTTGCCAGGGAGAAAAATGAAGCAGAACGACGACAGTCACATCCAGCACCTTAGAGTTTGAAATYTGTAGTCCTTAGAAAAACAATCTCAGGAATCCTGGGAAAAGCAATATTAATTTAACTTGAAAATGAAGTAAATGCAAAAAATGTGAAGGAAAACAGTGTCAAGTCTATAAAGCAAGGATGAAAAGGCAAATGAGGCAAGGASACCCTGAGGTGAAGATCAAGAAAAGTAGAGAGAGAAATCCAATCAAACTGCAGAAGATGTTAAACTMTAAACATAATAATTTTATATATGCACTTCTTCGAAGTCCATTATCATAGGTATCCACATACTACCACTTCCATTCTTCCAATAGTGTGTTAATGCTAACTGATCAAGAGAACACACAGAAAACAAAAAGATAGTCCAAGATACTCCCTTGCTATCTAACTACAGACAGTAAAGCAAATGCTCAGAAAATTGCAAACTGAAATTATTATCAAGGAGAGCAAAACCACTGGCTTCTAGGTTGTTTCCCTGATCTGCTCCTATTTAGTAAGCCTCACGGGCATGCCCTTAATGGATACAWATGCAAAATGGTGTCGATATGATCCATATATACGTGATATAGATCCATTTGTGATCTTTGTGAATTTGAGAGCTCATTTCTAAGATTTAGAACCCCTTACATTTTYCTGCAATGAAAACCTTCATACCTGCAATACAGATCCAAAATGTTTCTTCTTTCTATAATTCCACCAGCTATATCTACCTGATTRACAGATGTAGTCTACTGATTAAACTCAGTTGGCGTTAATGAACTCCTGTAGGAGCAGGCTCTTCGTCAAAGTTTCAGAACTGTAAGAGAAAGCTAGTCTTCTGGCACAGTTTCAAGTTTAGCATCTCACTTCAAGAGGATGATTCTTACCTGCAGATTTGAGCTGTGGTCTTTATCCCATAACTTAACTCCTTTTGCTAGCACATATGCTAGACTGGGATTCTGTATGATACAGCTACATAACTGAAGCACAATCAGAAAGAAGCCCAGAAAACTGTAATTCTGCATATGTGTGCATGTCTATGCATATAGCAAATGTGTAAACAGACAATGGAGTTCTCATGTGGCCAGTACTCAATTGACTCAGTTTTTCTAAAAAACTTAAGTCAATTAAAGATGTCACATTAATTTTCAGATGAGTTGTCAAAATGAGAAAAACAAACATGTTTTCAGGGTTATGTTAAGTGTTTGGGGAATAAGTATCTTGATTTCCTGTGCATTTTGACTGGAGTTTAAATGACCAAATATATTTGACTAAGTCGCCTTAGTCTGCCTTTACAGCCAATGGAGAAAAGCTGGCATTTCTAGGGCACAATTTATCTCATCCTAAAATAGATGTCTAAAGCAGGTCAGATGAATTGTGCCCTTGCAGTGCCTTTTACTCCCCATTGACTATAAAAAGCATGACTAGCTCAGACATACACGTCTACACTGCAGACATTTACAGGTAGATGATAAATTCCACTCTATATGATTTATGATTAACTTACTTTGATGACCGAAGAGGTGTGACTTTGAACTGAATTCTTCCCCTCTTCAAAGTTGGATCATGTATAAGGTTTCTCTTAGGAGTTTCCTTCTCTGGAGATCTTCAAAATCCTCTTGTACGTAATCCTGTGCCATGTGATCTAGGTGATCCTGTATGTGCAGAAGGGTTGGAATAGATGTTCTCTGAAGGTCCCTTCCAACCTTGATGCGAGGGAGTGTCTGGAGTCAAAGACGCACTCTCATAGAGATTAAGTCAATGCTCCGTTTATTGCAGATTCCAACACACTTTTATACAGTAAKCCATAAGCCGCACCCYGACCAATCATGATTTTACACACTCTCCTCTCGCCTCTGTCTTGCCACTGTCTCCGGGGMTGGCATCCAATCCCTTAAARGTTTACCTATAAGGTTCTGGATACAATACCTTTATGCCTAAAAACAAGTGTGCCACAGCTACTGTCCAATCAGTTTCATGGTCACGCAGCAGCCGGACAGCTGCCTTTGTTTTTGATCCGCTGATGGAACAAGTACACTGTCGGCCTTGAAGCTGGTTATCTACTAACAAGGCATCCTGCCTGCTAATAGGCACTGTACAGCCATCCTTGGAGCGGGCCCCAACACAACCTTAAGGATTCTATGATTCAATGAGCTGGACGAGGGCATAGAGTGCACCCTGAGCAAGCTTGTGGATGATACGAAATTGGGTGGAGTGGCCGACACACCAGAGGGCTGTGTTGCCACTCAGAGCGACCTAGACAGGCTGGAGAGTTGGGCAGAGAGGAACCTCATGATGTTCAAGAAGGACAAGTGCAGGGTCCTGCACCTGAGGAGGAATAACCTCAGACACCAGCACCGATTAGAGGTTGACCTTCTGGAAAGCAACTTCACAGAGAGGGATCTGGGAGTCTTGGTTGTCAACAAGTTATCCATGAGCCAGCAGTGTGTCCCCATGTCCAAGAAGGCCAATGGGATCCTGGCCTGCATCAGGAGGAGTGCTGCCAGCAGGTCAAGGGAGAAGATCCTGCTCGGTTCTGGTGAGGTTGCACCTGGAGTACTGTGTGCAGTTCTGGGCTCCCCAGAACAAGAGGGATGAGGGTCCAAGACAGAGTCCAGCGCAGAGCAATGAGGATGATTAATGGACTGGACCATCTATTGTATAAGGAAAGACTCAGCCTATTTAGCCTGGAGAAGATTGAGAGGGGATCTGATCAACATGTGTAAATACCTGAGGGGAGAATGTACGTAGGTGTATAAGAGGAGGAAAGATTCACAGCCTGTTTATGATCTGTAGAGGCCTTGAGACTACTGTGAAGCTGAGAACTAACCCGTTATCTGGTTGTAGGGAGTTTGAAGGCGGCTCTGCAGCTGCGAAAACAGGGGCCTTATCTGGTGGTGAGGAGCAGCTGAGGAATTTGGAGGYGGCCGTGCCAGAAGGCATGRGGCCAASCAAAACACAGCCGACCTCTAAGCCAGTTTGGAGGTCAAACCTGAGGTGAGGGAGAGGAAGATGATGAAGGTGGGACCCTCATAACGAGACAGAGACCCCCACTGGTGGGCRCRCATGCGCACACTGGGGAAAATTGGATAACGAAAAAGGTGGAGCTTTGCCCACCCTCTGGTACGCCTCCTGACACGTGGTGGCCCTACGTGGCCAGATATAAAAAATAATCGTGGATCAGAGGAGGAGAGAGACTTCCAACCGAGACCTACGTTGTCTCCRCGGGGACGCCGGCAAGCTTGGAGCCTGTCAGCTACCTCTGGTCCACGGCGGGGGAATGATCGGTCTCGCTGTCCTGCTGGCAAGTATCCTCTCGTAAGTAATTGCTATGTAGGCACCTCATTTCGCAGGTAGTTGCTAAGTAGTGGTCTTGCTTTAGTGTGATGTTAKTGTGAATTGTCCTAAATAAACTAAGGGGTGGATTTTGCTCTCAGTGCGTGTGCTTTCAATTGCCGAGCCCTGAACCCATCCAGAACAGTAGGAGGGGGCCAAACTCTTCTTAGTGATGTCCAGTGATAGGACAAGGGGCAATGGTTACAGTTTGAAACACAGGAATCTACATCTTCATATAAGGAAGAACTTCTTTCCTGTGAGGGTAACCGAGCCCTGGAAGAATCTGCCCAGGGAGGTTGTGGAGTCTCCTTCTCTGGAGGTCTTCAAAAGTGCTTGGATGCCATCCTATGCCACGTGTTCTGGCTGTCCCTGCTGGAGCTGGGGATTTGAACTAGATGTCCTAGTAGATGTCTAGAAGTCCTTTGCAACTTTAACCGTTCTGCGATTCTGTGATTCTATATGGTAATCATACATAAATGGTAAAAATAATAGTGTTATATGTACAGAAAGAATAATAAAATCACTATAGTCCAGGGAAATGTCTTCTTAAGCAATGGTCGTTTTGAATTTTAGCATTTTACACTTCCAAATTCATATGCAACACTGAACTTTGATTTGTAACATTTCAGGCTCCTTGTATGCTGCACAAGGATGGATGCTATTTGACCTGTAGCTAATAGGTCAAGTGCTATTACTGCACTTCCTTCCTTGTTCTTCCTTGTGTTTCTTCATACTCTTTCATATGATCCTTTTCCACTTAAATAGTTATGCTGCAACTCCAGTGTTTTACAGAAACTCTCATATGATGCAACTTCTTTATTCTTCTCCTCTTCTATAACAGGCTTAATAAAAACACTTGAGAGGGAACTAAAATAAAAAWTCAGAAATTGTCTGTTCTCATTTTACAGACCAGAAGTTACTTGTTCTATTATTTCCAAATTAAGAAACAAGTCAGTTTCCATGCAGTACTTTACTGTGTGTTTACTGTGTTTATTAGGATGAGTTAGAATAAAACAAAAATTTTAGTGAATATTTCCTAAAAAGCAAAAATTCATATCTTTTGTACAATTCATTTAGCCTCATAAAGGACAGCTTCATCACGTAGACTCTTTTCCTTACAGATATTTATATGTGTGGTGTTGAATGAGGTTTATGGAAACAAGACTTGAAGGGGCCTCTAGAGTCTCCAAATCTATTCTTTGACTTTCATAGGCCATTATAGCCTATGGTACTGTCATAAAATAACCAATTTAGGTAGGCAAGGTGACAAGGTCACCTGAGAGTACAAGAGTTTACCTTGTGTATACAGGTCAGAGTCAAAGTTACATCAGTGTTTGATACACAAAAGATTTGCTCTCTTAATAGGCTTAGACAAATCTTTATCTGAGGTTTGGGTATTTTCCTATATACCTGCTAAAAATATTGCTAGTATAAATTAAATGTCGCAAAGTACATCCTGCATCCTATTAAGACATTAAGCTCTTGTTTTGTATTCAGGTCCATGTACATGACACAGTTTGTTTTGTACTCTGAAAGCCTTCATTCGGCTTTCTTATTTTAGCATGATGTACTGTAAATATGAAACTGAATTCTTAAGTAGGAAATTTATCAAAAAGAAAGAAAAAAATGGATCTGACACTTGATGATTAAATATACTCCACTCAGAACTCGAAAAGGGGATCAGAAGATAATTATTGTTAATTTGAAAATGGCCTGAAGAGGACACATAAAAAGAATGCTGCTTTACTTTATCACTTAGAGAAGCTATACATATATAATTTTTTTCTTTTACTTTAAAATACTTGCATTTGTTCTACTTCAGAGATGAACTTAAATAAAAATAGGCTTAAATTTAATTGGCTCCCTGATGAACACCTCCATGCCATTATGTCTTTTTACACTTTGGCTAGTTTCAGACAACAAACTTGTACTAGCAAATCAGCCAGAGGCATGATGTTGCCTTTGATTGACAGCTATGCTACTAATTCTCTTTTAATAAGATAGGGATGATTTGCTTAGTATAGATCATTTTGCTCTGTGTAGTGACAGCCTCAGGCACAAGAAGTCCACTACACTACTAGTAGTTTCACTACTTCGAAATCCCATGCTTTGAAGCAATCCCAGACATACAACTAATCCTACACTTTCTACATTAAGTTATCACATATCAACTGCTCTGAAGTAGCTGCTCAATAACAAAGGAGAAGTAACTCCATTACCTATTGAGAGATGTTATTTTGTGCATGTCTAAAAAAAGACTATTCTCACATAAACTAGTTTAGAACACTGGATGAGTTTTCTTTTCTTTCATATACACATGAACAAATCAACATTGCCCACAACAGTGCTTCCAAAGATGCTCTAACACAAGAAGCTTACCAACTAAAGAGCATGGAGCTGGTATCCAGATTACCAACCAACAATTGGAACTATGAAGGAACTATGAGTAAAATAGAAAAACATGGCTATGCACCTAGATAAGGTGCCTCTTTTTTTTTTTTTTTTTTTTTTTTTTTTTTTTTTTTTTTTTTTTTTTTTTTGGTGAACCATAGTGGGTTTTCCTTGGAGCTTTCATGAGTGGTCAGTAATGTACACATGGAGGACATTGCCTGTACCATGTACAGTATCCCTATATTGGTTTTGCAAAATCCCACTTAAGTTTCTTTCTACATTTGTCTTTCATTTATTGGAGTATATTAATATTATACTAGTTCTATAAGCCAATAAAGCTTGAAAAAAAAAAATAAGACTTCAGTCTGACAAGAGATATAGAGTAATAATTGATACAAATTGAGACAATTTCCTGAAGGGAAACTCAAAGATTTATCCATGACATATCTATGACAGAAGATGAAGATAGGTCTTCAGACTCACAGACTTCCAAATCACTTATTTTCCTGTCTCGGTGCTGCCTTATGTGGTAGGTACCAGTAACTGTTGGCATAGCAACTGTACCAGTGACTGAACTTATTTAAATAGGAGRTAGGCTGTATCAGTAACAGACCCATTTTAATTTCTTCCACTGAGGTCCCAGGTAACTGTACTACTTTGGTCTGGCTGAAAAGCATTGCTGTCACAGAGTAGCAACTAAGTCAGGTCAACCAAAAGCAAAGGCAGGTCAACCAAAAACCTGAAAACTAGAAAATGCATCATGAAGGTTGAAATGAACAGGAAATAACACTGAGCAAATGGTGATGAAGCACTAATAGAGCAAGCCATCTAATTCTAGTAGCTATGAAATAAAATTGCCAAGGGAACTTCTCTTTTTGGAGTGTTGAAGAACAGCACTACTGAACCTGTCCTTCCAAAATCTCTGCAGATCCTGCACACCCAGATCACATAGAAACTCAGCACTGCTGTGGACCTGATGTTGCAAAGCTCCTGCAGCACCAGCATGAAACTATGGTAAACGTACTTCCATCTAGTTTTCCCAGTTGCCTAAGCTCCACATTTCACCTCTAGAAAATAGTAAGGGTAGATAGTCAACTTTGCTTAAAAGTTTTATTAGGCTTATAAATAAAATATCTTTTTTTTTTTTAACTAAAAATGGACTAAAATGTAGCAATTCGGTGGCCATTATCTTCATATCTGCCAGAATCTCTATTAAAAAAGAGAAATAGATATATAGGAGACCTTATTACCAGTTCTATGTTCTGTGTTACTGCATGAAGAAGCAGCTACATTTTCCAATGCACAGTGGTGATTAGACACCACTAGGGATCCATTTGCTTCAGAAATGAAGTCCTGAAAAGGGTAATGTAACCTGCAATGTGGGAAGGTGTCGCTACGTATGTGCTTTTTCAGCTACTGCATAATGCTTATTCCTAAAGGGTTGCTATTAAAGACCTATAGATATTTTAATTATCTAGTATCTACCCACCTTGTATGTCTGTTCCACCTTGTACTTGGGAAGATAGTACTTCATACACTATATTCTGCCAGTTCACTCAGATTACCAAGTGAAGATGTTTTTCACATGCCATAAATAATAGTCTTACTAAGCTCACTGAAAATTGGATCAAGAGCTCATGTCCTGATGGATCTCTTGTCTGGTGACATTAACCATTACATTTCTCAATTTAGATGCTCCAATGTATCGCTCATTGAACTATATGCTTTATTTTTCATATATAATCTTCCTTGGGAAAATTATTTGTATTCTATCACTCCTAAAGAGCTGCTTGAGTGTCCTTGTGTGTAGCAAAAGGGAAATTATAGAGCTTTGTGAAATGAAAAGGAAACTTCCCTTAAAGAAAACTATGTTTACATAAGGTAGCAATTTTAGTAAAACAGAGTTCAGTCTATTCCATGAGATAATGGAAAATTATTATTAATATATGTATTTCTTCTCAGAAAATATTTGCCATTTTAAGAGCAGCCTATGCTGATAGCATGARTGAGATTTTGCAACTGAATCAATATAAATACATCTCTATTGTATGAGTAGAAACATTTATATAGGTTGTACTGATTTTATGTAACATTAATGAGGCAATTCCCTAATCAAGTGAATTAGTTTTGTCTCTGCAAACATACCTACTTAAACAAGTATTTTATCATTGCACAAAATATGCATTTCACTTTCATATCAAAACCTGGGCTTGGCATATGGCAGTGGTATTAGTAACAAAGAGCAATGCAAACAAGAGCTAGCACACAAATCTAAAGCAATGCAATTTGTGATACAAAATGATAGTATTAATCTTAGCTTTATGGCACATTGGTTATTTCAAATATATAGGGATATGTTCTAAAGTTCTAGCTATGTATTTCCTTCACAAATGCAAACAGAGGTCTTTCTGGTTAATAGGCAGGATCATACTGGTGATGAAGGGCTTTGGAACAGGTACCTAGGCCTTAATTCAACAAGGCTCTTAAGCATTTGTAAATGTTAAGCATATGTTTAGATTACTTTAATAAATAGGAGTAGAGTTAAGCATGCATGCAAAGTGGCTTGATGATTTGAAGCCTTAATGTGAGCAGTCTGAAAACTTCTGTGCAGGAAGATTTAATTTCTGGCTACAGAAGATGCAAATTCTTTTTTTTTTTTTTTTTTTTTTGTATCTTAATGCATCTTTTTTTTTCATTATCTAATCAGTAGATTTCCACCTTGTAATGCTTCATATCAGCCTGTGGATACCATAGATGCATAATACATGGTACAACATTTTTCTTCAAGCAGTGGGTGGTCTGATCCCTTAATCAAGCTGACTTTTTACATTAAAAAGCTTAGCTCAGCTTGTGCTCTTAGAAAATTTATTTTACTCTGCTTGACTACATTTATTTTAAAGTATGTATGTGCATACATGCATGGCCCAATGCCCAGTAACTATATTATACAGTCAGGAATATCTGTCTCTGTGTTTTCATCACAATTCTTTGCTCCTAGAGATTTATCACAAGGCAATAAAAATGCACTCAACTTTGAAAGCAAGGCTTCTGTGCTTAAATGTGTTTTATTCCATTAAAAAAAAAAAAATGTTCACTTTAAATAATAAAATTTTGAGGAAATAGAGAGAGACGCAGTATAAAAACAAACTTTTGACACAACTTGTAGGGCTTTCGTATTTTTATCCTCAATTTTTCAGACTATTACCTACTACCAAATAACATTAGTGCCTTGATATCTCCAAAGAAAATACACTCTCAAAGGATACTGACATTTATAATACATACTTCTAATCGTTGTAGAGGGATGTCTTTCCTCATTTTTCTTTAACTCAATATATTGCCCCTATTTTTCCAGGTTGGGTGATATTTGAAGTTTATGTGAACTGTGTCCTATGTTCCTGTTTTCTTCAACTTTTTACAGCATAGTACTGCATCTGTTTATCAAAAAAGTGGCAATGAGAGAAAGTTTAAGGGTCAAGAGTGTTGTTTGTAAAGATTAAACACAAATATATTGCTCAAAAAGGTGTTATTYTTAAGCTGTTCATTCTATTCATTCTCCGTATCAACATGGAAGTTTGCTCAAATTTTAAAAAGCGTGTTGTTTTGCATGACAGAGAGATGCCAAGTTGGGAACCTGAGATGGAAAATGAATCTAAGTAGCCCAAATATCACAGAGGTAATTATTATGAATAATTTTATGTTATGAGATTAATCTCTTCAGGATTTTCACGGTTCTTCTCTGTACAATCAGTTAAGAACTCAGTACAGACACAATTCGAATCTCCATTTTCCATCTCTCCATTGACTCACAAGTTCTCACTTGATTTGTCTGATTCATTGGGATGCTGACCTAGTAAGAGTTCTTATCTTTGTATATGCTACACCAAGATTATAATAAAAATACAGCAGGAGTCAAAAATGACATCTCAGTTCCAAYAGAAAATTTTCTTTTGAACTACAGCTTTTGTTTGGCCCTTTATGCCTGAAATCTATTCTCTAGTCAATATGTAAGCACTGAGTGGGCTAGATTTTGTCAAAGGAGACAGCCCCGAGAGGCTAACCACAAATATGCACACAATGTCATCAACATAATACAAAAATTCATCTTATGCTTGTAGTTGCCAATAACCCAGATAGGATAGAAATGTCATGAAATATCAAATACAGACCCTTCACTTGATTCATAAAAAACTCAAAAATTTTTTAAAAAAATTCTCCCATCATCTCTGTTGAAAACAGTTACGAGGTGGTAAACCTGTGCTTGCCCTTTTGCGATTTACTTGATCAGTAAGTTTCCTAAATAATTCTATGCACATTAAAAAAACAAACGAACAAAACAAACACTAAATTATGCAGTTTATTATTAAGAGAAATGGGAATGAACATGTCTTCTTCCACCTCTAAAAACTTGGATATAAAACTTGGGCATAAATCTGTTTCACTGAATAGATAAAACTAGTCCACTGCAATCTGCATGTTCTCTCCAATTTTCTGTAATTATCTGCTTGTTTTAAAGACATTCAGGCCTGCAGTTTCACAGTAGTGGAAATCAGTACAGTTTTGCAGTGATAAAAGTAGGTAGGAAAGAGTGTTTCACATTTAGTATCAAGTTTAGTTGCAATCAGCACTAATACTGTCACTTTCATGAGCACTGGAGTGACAAATATCTAAAGATCTTATTTGGATGATTCAGAATGCCTCCACAGAGTCACTTAGGACTTTATAAGATTATGGTTGTATTAAAATCATGTGACTTTCYGAAAAGGTATTTTTGATTTTGTTAAAAAGTTATATATTCATTTGAATTTTTTATTACACTGATTAATCCCATTTTTATTGCATTCTATAGTGTAGTATACCATTGTAAAGACTTTATTGAAGTCTTCTATTTGTTTTGGCTTGATGGATCGAAAAATTGTTTGCATTTTACAGGTCTGTTCATTTAACAGGTATTCATTTAAATGGATAATAAGATACAAGGGTTGTGTAATGAGATGGAAAATTGCTAGCCACATATTAGGTGATTATAGTGGGTTTTGTCCAAATCAATTTTGGCAGAATATAATAAATCTAAAAAATGGACCTGGAACCAACATTTCAGATGGTAATCAGTAGGTCACTCTTGTGAAAATATTTTCCCATTAGTTTATATTTAATGGGGAAGGAAGTCCATTGCCTTATTTAATAACGATTTTATGGTGAAATGCAGGAGCCATATGGAAAGGGAGAGATAACTGAACTAAAATTCTCCCCTAGTCACAGTCTTTTTTTTTCTGCCTTTTTCATCACTGAGCATTCTCCACTGAGATTTTAGTTGGCGACCTCCTAAATAACTACACAGAGACATAGAAGTACAGAAAGAAGACCAGTAGATGTAATTAAAAGATGTGGAAGATAGCTCAAGCATGGATTTACTAGTGTAGGCCATTCCTCCCGCAGGTCTTACTTTCCTCAGCCTTGTTATGGTGCTCCCAGTATGACTCTCCTTCAGTCTGCATCCTCAGTATCTCATCTCCTTCAGTATCTCATCCAGGACTCACGAACTGGTGCTGATGGGACGAGAAAGAACAAGCAAAGAACAGAAAAAGAAATCCAAACCCTTCTTGTAAGACATTTTTCAAGGTGGGGAGACTTAATACCACCCCTGCCCCTCTGAGAACACTCTCACTTTATTTCTGTTTTTCTATTTCATATTAATCCACCTAGGATTTTGCCCAGATCTAATTAATGTGTTTAATGTGTCCACACCATGATCATCTGTGGCTTGTGTCCACATGGCTATAATTCTGGTGCACTTAGGCCATAATCAAGGATGAGTGTGCTAGTATGGTGGAAGAAGCAGTCCAGAGACTGACTAAGCTTGTGCCTCAGACTGTGTGAGTGGAAGTCTAAGATTCCAAAACGAAGGCTGAAATGGAATGAAGGCTAATGGAATGAAGCAATCTTCCAGCAAAAGGAGACGTGCAGCAGCTGCCTATAAACTTCTTAGCTTTTTAGCTCTGAGGGCATCTCCTAGTCTGCTACAAAGCAAAGTGAACCAGTAAAATTGAGCTATTCTGAATAATTTAAGTTAAGTTTGGCCTAAAAGTATAGCATTTGCTTACATGGTTATTGTTGCAGTTTGATGGGGATAGGAGGGCAAATTTGGTAAGAGATGTATCTCCTTGCGTTCCAGTCAATTCTCAAAGGTTAGAGGAACTAGGGGTGGCTGAACTCATCTCTCAATAGGGATATCAAATACTGTGGTATCTTCAGGCCCAACTCTGGAAGTACCAGATTCACAGTCTTTTGATTTTAGATCCAATCATCTTCCAAGCAGCAAACTGAGTTCACAAATAGTGAGTGATCACAAAAGTATGATCAGCTATAGGTCCAATTCTGGCAGTACCAGTTTCACAAACAGTCTGTTGACTGTAGGTCCGATCACCTTCAAAACAAGTAGTCGAGTTCACTCGACTACTTATCTAGTAGCATGATTTATTCAAATACAACTTTTAGAGAACAGCTTTTGGATGTCAGTGCAGGAAATTCTCTACTACAGTGTAGGGTTCTTAACTGGTGCCTGGTGTACAAATGCGCAATCATCACTCGCCCAGAAGATGGGAGAAGGCTCTCAACATCAAGGAATTTCCTCAGGTGGCATCCTGACCTGAGGGAAGAAAAGGATTCAGCCCATCAACTGATYCAGAAATTAAGGTGGAATCTTCGCTCTCTCTTTTTCCTTTTTCCCTCTTCTCCAATTCCTATTAACTGCCCTTCTTATTTCATCTTTCATGTTTTCTTCTACATTTAGGTGGAGCTTGAGTGACTCTAGTCATACTTACTTTCATTATTAATTGGTTTAAAAAGTCTTCCGAGTCAATTGAAAGTCTAGAGAGCATGCTCAGTAAGGAGTGGTCATTCCTTGGAAGCAGATAACTTCTGGGAGGGGTTGTGTATTGATATTATAATGAGATTAGACTGAGGAGAAGTTTGAGCAAAGTCTGTTGGAAGGGACTGATTTGCCACCATTGTTGGCCCACAATCAGACATCTTATCATACTATGTGGCTTATTAGATGCATGGTACAACCAGGTTGTCGCCTCTGCAGGGAGTATAACAGAGTTTGGCTGTGGTGTCTTCACTCTGTACCTACATTCACTCATCAGCTGCATGGCACCATCAGATTAGCAGCTCTGCAGAGAAGCCAGCAAAGTTTGGCCATGGTGTCTCCATTCTGCTCCACTCTTCATTTACTCTCATTAGTGTGTGCTAGGAGAGCAGACTGTGTTGCCAAGGAAATCATGGAGAAGTAGATTCCATACACAGCAGCCATCCTGGAAGTGGTAACTGTTTCTCACCTCAAGCAAGCCTCTGTAATGCCATAACTTCTGTTAGGCCCTAGTTTTTCTCTAATTTCCCCTTTCTTGAGCAACTCACTCACACGTATTTACAGCTCAGCCTTCTCAGAAACAGTTTCTTAATTGATAGGATTAGCAAAACTGTAATGTACTACCAGACTATGAAGCCATTTCAATATTAATAATTTAATAATCATGCCTCTAACTATTCCCCAGCAGTGAGGCCAGCTAACCTAGAATAGCTGGCATTT